AGTCTAGTTTCCAGCACAGGAGCAAAGGTTCAACAGTTTATGCATATTAAAAAAGACACAGTTGGGGGAGTATTTTATACAACCCCTGATCTTTTTTTCATTCCCCTCTTTCAGCAGCAATGAGGCCAAAAGAGATGAGGGAGATCTAAACTGCTACAGGACAAGTGTCTCCCACTGGCCTGGTCCCACTGTCATCTACACTTGGGCTGGCAGTGGAGCACACAAATGAGTTTCCTTCCTACGGAAATGAAAATATTTGGGAAATGGAAGGTAGATTGAGACACACCTGGATTTTAACCTGCAGTAGAGTCAAGGTACAACCAGAACTTCCACTGCATAGTCTTAATGTTGTCTTAAGTTAAGGTTTAAATTCAGTCTAAAATAAAAATTTCAGTCCATTTCCCCACTTCTATTATTGACTCCCAAAGGGGAGAAGAAAAAAAAGAGAAAGATCTGCAGAAAGTGATTTCTCCCTATTATTGTATCTCACCTTCATTTATGCCAATCCCCTGCATTTATACATACATAAGTATACAAATATACATAAATATTTCATACATATGTAAATTAACACATTATTCTGTGGTTCCCCATTATCCTGACTGATAAGATTGAGGACACAGACTGGGAAAAGACAATGTTCCTAAGTGTTCTGGGCCAAAATTTCTGAAATATTTAGCTTTCTGCCATAGCCCCTCCTCCTCTCTTTATTCTAAAGAAAAAGCTGCTGCAAGAATGATGGACGTAAGTCAGAGCTACCAGCTGGCTGACCTGCTAAGAATACAGTTGCACAATTAGATCTGGGAGTTTCTTGGTTTAATCAGGCCTTAAGAGAAAGGTCTGCACTGCAGAAGCCTTCCATGCATTATCTGGTTTTAATAAGCAGCTTTAATATTCATCAGCTTAAAGGATAGATGAAAAGACTAAGAAGATAGTAGTGCTCTTGCACATCAGAATTGCCACCCAAAAATATAAACATGATTTATTAAGGACTACAGAAGGACTACTTAAGGACTACTACTATTCATTAAGGACTACAGATTGGCAACTCATTTTTGTCCTGACCCACACCAATGTCAGTCCTGACCATGGGACTGAGTTATCATGGGCTGAGCCTCAGATCTGATCCCCAAATCTCTGCACATAAAGTTTTTCATAGTGGATGGAGAGTGATAGGCTTCCAAAGGAATCCCTCTATATTTACAAATATTTAATCTCCAAGGAAACCTTGTGGTTTGAACAGTGAACGGTGGCATCATTTACATTGAACACACCAAGTTTTGTGGTCTTCCTGACTTTCCAGGCCTTTCTCCAGTGCACTCACTCACAATCTCAAAGGTGGACGCAGACCATGTTCCTTTCACATCCTGCTGCTATTGATTCTGACCAAACTATGTCTGGTTTAGATATTCCTAATATGTAACTGTCAACCGACTATCAAGAATTCATGATGCAAGTTCAAGCAAGACTGGATAAAATAGGTGAATGAAGACAAAACATAAGACAGATTATTATTTTTCTTTGTCAATATTATGCACACTGTTTTCTTGAAAAATAAGAAGAATACAAGAAACAGTCTAATACAGGAATTGCATTGACTAAAGACAACTTCCTTAATATACACATGATCTGTCATTGTAGGTGTTCTGTTTCTTTTCATCTGACAATAAAACTAGCTTTATGTTCCTGTTTATGACCATTCCTACCAGATGAGAGCAAAAAAAGATAATGCAAGAATGCAGGAGAATTTGTAGCTTCCTCTGACCACATAAAACTGCTTGTTCAGTACTAGAAGATTTTTATTATTATTATTTTTATATTTTACAGCTTTCCAGGAAAACAGTTATTCCTTCTGGTGGTTTTCGATTTTCAGATCCCGCTCCCTCCTCCAGTGCATGCGCAAACTACTCTGCAATGCATTTGTTGTCTCAGGTACACCATGGTTTTCTTTTTTAAAATTTATCTTTCACATAGCCTTTAAAAAGCACTAACTATGCACAATTGCCATGTATTCTGTTTGTATGCTATTTCTAAATGATATTTCTGTTAATACTAGAGGGAAAAGAAAGGACCTTGCTGCTAAAATACAACATTTTTACTTTAGTACTGGGGAGTTCAAGCACAGAAAAAATAACAGGGTGAATATCACCTGAACATGTTTAACGGGCATTCATTTGATGTGAACTATTGATCCTAGCAAATAGTTTTGTTGTTTCTAACCAGTTCTTTGTAAGTGGAAGAGTCTGAATGGGAAACAGCCTCTGTGAGTGAGGAAACACTGATGTCCAGCTTCCTTCCAAGTGTCCTGATCATCCCATCAAGATCTTTTCAATCGGGTGTTCCTTGGACACCAAACAGCAGATAATTCAACACAAGTCAACTGTTCAGGTAGGTTCTGTAAGCAAACTGCTACCATTCACCCTCAATTAAATAAAATAAAATAAAATAAAAATTCATTTACAGAATAAGGGGCAATATTAATTATTCTGTCTGAGTCACTCAGCATACTCAGACTCCCAAAGGACCTCAGCTTGGCAGGACACCAATATATGAACCATCTGGCCTGCCACTGTACGTCTTGGAGCTGGTTTCTATAAATGACAATGTTTAAAGCATTTGAAGGACCTTGTTTGCTGGTGTAAAGCATCATCTAATCTTGTACATCAATTAGCACATAATTATTTGGCATAATCTGACCATCATTTCTCATTTGCCCATTCAGTGGTGGGATGAAATGGAGTAGGACAGAAGTTTAAAACTGAAAGCTGACCCATCTTTTAGCTGACCCTCCTTTTCTAGTGCTATTGCAGGCAGCACTGCAAACTAATCACTGTTAAGTTATTAGCATTCTTCCACTGCAGTATCTAAAATTTCCATTTTTACTTAAGAGAAATAAAAAGCAAGTGAAATAATTAGATGGATGATAACTGTGATATTCGCACATATTTACACAACCTTTTGTAGTAGGAAGAATTAATTTCTTAAAGAATTAAAAACACAGAGGGCTACAGGATTTTAATTAAAATCTATGACTTGCAAAACAAAGATACAAAGTGCCAGCAGAGAATTTGTTTGCCTGCAGAATTGCTTAAGTCAAAGTGGACTTAGGTATTACATGACTCTGTGAGAGTAAAACATTTGCAAGTGTCTGTTCCCCACCTACTACTGTGTGTGTCTGCAGCCCTTGTTCAGGAAATCATTAATTCCCGAGGGAGGAAAAATGGGGGAAAATAAACTAATTAGCTGTAAGATGAGGCATGATAGTTAAACCACAGTTGTCTTCCATAGAAAGGGACTGGAACAAGAAAGGTTTAATTTTGTTGTACAGTACTATGGTATCAGTGATAACAGACTACTATCTTACTATCATATGGTATTATTATTAATACCCTTATTATTAACACACTTCATGTATGGTGTATCTTCCCACTTGAACTACCAGGCCCTGTAATTTATTGTTAGCATGAAAAAGTTCCAAAATAGTTTTCATTAAATACTGATTCTTAAAGCATCATTTTATCAATATGAAAGTTACCGTGTCAAATATTTATAAGTGTTTTTCCTCATCAAAATCTCATAGCATTAAACAAAACAGCTGGTGGTAGGGTATCAGCTATGTCTTCAGAACTGCTGGCCAGAATCAGGAAGAACAGGAAGACACATGAGAGCAGGCTTCCAGATTTTAGATCCTCACAGGTGTCTCCTCTGCTTACACAGTGCTTCAAAACATCAATTCCAGAGGCTATTTCCTGTGGCATCTGGTGTGTATTTTCTAAAGAGGTGTTGGATGAAGACCAATTCAGTTACTGCTGTAAGCAATTGCACTGCTATGTTACTGAGCAAACGAAGATGGGTTTCGGACCATAAAGCATGAACATATGCATTAGTATTTCTTCAAAACTACTCATTTCATTTCAGCCTCCCAAATAGCAGCATCAAGCAACGTACTAGGAACCAACTCAGGGGTAATCAATGAAGGCAGAGAAGGAGCACAGAACAATGCCACATATTAAAAATTAAGTGTGTTAAAAATGCACTTTTCTTGTAACAGTGCTTAAACATAAAGATAGCTCTGAGATTTGAATAATGGAGGGTTTCTGAAAGTATTAATGCTGGTAGGATCCCAACATGAACGACACTTCAGTGTCTTGGAGAATTTACAGCCACGCTCAGTTCTTCCCCAACTTGAGTAGTGTTGGTGCACACACATCTCATTCCTCCTCCTTCCCATTACCCCAGGATCCATCAAAGGGTCACACAGAGCAGACCGCATCTGTTTGTGACTCAGGGTGGCCAGGAAGCAGTGTTACAGCTGTGCTAGCACAGCTGGCTTGGCACTTCTATTTACTGCAGGGACGGGGGTTTGGCAGCACCGCATCCACCCCTGGAACGCTGATGTTACTGTACTCATGATGCCCAAGCAGTCACCTAATGAAGTGCTCTGAAACAAGTCCAAAAAAGCTACTCAAGTTAAACTGCAGCTTGAATAAGGAGATTAAGGGTAACAATTGAAGGAGGATAATTTACAGATACTACCACCTACAGGAACACGTTGAATATCTGGCTGTAGGTCAGCTTATAAAGGTAAGAAAGAAAAAAATATCCCAAGACATTAAGGAAACATTACCAGCAAATTTACCCTCAAATTTCTGTAAAATGTGATTTTAGGACGCCCATGACACAACATCTCCTTAAGTTCTAGGTGAAACTGTCACTCGAGCTAGATGTTTTTTCAGAACTTTCTACTGCAGGCTGAATAAATGGGTTATCCATAAAATCAAATGTGATTTAATAGATTGTTTCACAGTGTCATTTAAAGGAAAAGTAAATCATAAACAAGTGGTATGCAGTTATGCAATTTTGCAGTCATCTCAAACAGGTTGCTAGGCCATGCTAACTAGTAAAACATTTTTGTTTTATAAAATTAGTTCTTTTTATACATACATAGAAAATGTATGTACAAATAAATAAATAAATATCACATTGCTAAGATGCTTTACCTGGTTTTACTTCTGAGGTTTATATTCTTTCCCATGCAGCTGATTTCTCCCCACAGGATTTCAACCTTTATTACTTGCTGACAACATGTCTGACAAATAGCTTTTTGCTGCAGTAGCTGAGGTTGAGCCATCTGTTTTATCTCTAGAGAGCCATGCATTATTCGTAATGACATTTTTCTGTTTCATTCCCTGGGGAATAGCACCTGCATGCTGATTTCCTATTTGACCCCAAAATACATCATCCCATTCGGACAAGCGGTCCCTCCCTTTCATGGCCCAGGAAGCACCATGCTCTGAATGCTCCAGTGTCTCCTTCATCTTTGAGAGCGGAGGCCAAGGGGTTTCCTCCTGGATCACGGGCAGGTTGCAGTCACCTGTCAGGTTCGCATTGGAGGGATCAACTGAAGGTATCTGAGGAGCAATGAAGAGAAGAAAACCTCGGTCCCACTGTGTTTCTGCACCTTATATGGAAACAGGTCACTCCAGGCATTGTGGCTGATTTCAGCCATTGCTTCCCATTTAATTGTACAATAGGTCTGTGTCACGCTCTCCCTGGGATTTAATTAAAGCACACATGGTATGTATATATATGTATATAAATAATCAATGAATTAACAAAGAGCAGAGCCATCAAAGAGCTGTTTGCAGTTTGCTCTCTCTACTAATTCTCCTCTATTACAATATTTTTACCAATCATTTTTATATATGACTGTGATAAAGAAGATGACCAGGAAAGCAGCTTGAATTATCACATAAACCCCCGGAATAAATAGTTTAAGGATCCCATATGTTATCAGAATTCTGAGTCAACATTTTGTTCTAGTTTCTTAACTACAAAGAGACATCAGTGTCTTGCATCTTTTTTTTTTTCAGTTATTCTTGTCAAAAGCAAAAACAATGTTTTTATTTGTTTTATTCTGTTTATTTTAACCTGAGATTATAAAGAAAATTCATTAGATCAATATTTGTAACTACACTAGTTAGCTGGCTCTGGTAATTGCATATCTGAATTTTGTTTCCATAAAATTATGGAGAGGTTATGTTGTCTTAGAAAGGATGAAATCTCCTGCAAGTTTAGTTAGCAGCAGACTGTCACAAATGCAATTGCAATTGATCAACTCTGGTCTTAACAGGATTCCTGCAGTTAATGGAAATTACTATAAAGAGCTTCAGGGCATAGGAATAATTGGATCACTGAAAAAAAAAATGGAGGGGGAAAAAAAAAGGTAGGACAGGATCAACATGATAACTATTTCAAAAAAAAATAAAAATCCAACAATTTTCAGAGACAATCTCACCAAGAGTATACCATGATTAAAACAACAACTTTTAATTGTTTTACATGCCCCAAGCCATTCTTAAACAATGGGGAAGAAAAAGCATAATGAAAAACATTAAGTACATCTTATCTTCAGCTTGTTTAAACTAACAATAAAATGTGCATCTCTGGAAATGATCATTCAAATATTTATGTGATCTAAAAAAGGACAGCCAAGAAAAGTAGGTTTCACTAAACTAAAAATGATGAAAACAAATTTTACTGACCTGGCAATTTTTGCAATGGTTTTGTCTTAGCTCCCGAAGCAAGGCTATGATCTTCTCTGGACTTCTTAATTTTTTAGGAGAGCTGGCATACACATTTGGAGTGATGTGAGCACTGTGGATACCATCCACCTCTCGTAGAGAGTTTGCAGGTTTTGACCCTGTCGTCCTGTTCACTCTGACATATGTCTCGTGATCCTCTGACTGTCCACTAGTCTCTGAAATGTCTGTGGAAGAAGGCAGCATCTACAAGAAAAAGTACCATTTTTAGAAATTCAGAGTAGATGAAGTTTTCCAACACTGTGTATTTTGAATTAGTAGAATTTGCCTAGATTAATTAATCTATGCAAACATTCACAGAAATTAAATGTAAAGAAGTTATATTTACTGAAATAAGAAAAAAAAAATAGTTTATCAATTATCTTAACTGTGAAACATTCTTGTATCCATTTAAAATGTAATCCTACACTTCTCAAGTTTTCTCCAAGAACTAAAAACTCCAAATTTGGATATTAACTCCAAACTCCAAATATGGATATTAAGAAAAACTATTAAAAATAAATAAACGAATAAGATAGTTTTTTGATTGCATGATTTCATGTTTCCTCTTGAAGAATTTTAAAATTGTATTTATTTTGCATAATCTCTCACTCCACAACAAATTCAGGTTTGTCTACCTAAGAATGCTCAAGACAGTTAAGCATACTGGATTTTTAGACTATATTAGTTCAATTGCAAAAACTCTTCCACAGATTCCCATAAACTGAATTAAAATTTTCCTAATTGAATTGATTTCATTGCATGACCAGATTGACTAACACCACAACAAAGCTTTCAGATTATCCCTTCTGAATATCCTCTTCACTGAACTGAAGCTACATTTAGAGAGAAATGCAGCTTGTTTAATTATGCACATTTTCATAATAGTTGGAAACAGGAAAAGATCTCACTGAAAATAAATGACTACCACAGGTCAGTAGCATTTCATCATCCAAATACAAATTTATTAAAGCAGCAGGATTAATGCTACATTTTCTTCTTGCAGTTGCACAATGAATTTAAGATTGATAGCATTTTTTCATCCTTTGTTGTTGCTTTAATTATTTCCAAAATTAAAACATCTGCTTACACAATGAAGTTATCACCTCATTGTCATTAGTCCTCTTGCAAAAGCTCCAGAAATAAAAATATAAATATCCCAGATAAGAAATTGTTATTTAAGATAAAACACATTTTACTTAAACAATGCATTGTTTTTCCTCTGTATATCTTTAATGAGCATTAGCTACATTGAAAAAAAAACAAAAAACACACAAAAAAAACCAAAACAGAACACAAAGGATTCTGAAATGTTGCAGTGTTGTAAGATTGCTCTGACATGACCCCTCCAAAAATGAGCATTTATTGACAATCTGATCCACCATATTAAAAAGCTATGAAGGCTTAAAGGAGAATGTATGATGTGTGAACTGTTGCCATTGCCAAGGAAAGAAGTTTCACCATCTTGCAGAAGTGATCACCATGGAGCTTTCTGAGAAACGCACAGCTTGCAAGCACTTCAAGAGCAGCTTCAAGGCCAGGGAGAGACCACACAGATATCAGCAGTGCTTTACTGTCCATAGCCTTAGAGCCTGAATCCCTGCAGGGTACAACCTAGCCTCACATGAGAAAGCTCATTACTTTCATCTCCTGCTTGCAAAGCAACACTCAAAGCTGTTGGGCTTCTTGGAGTATGTGTCTTATAATTTTTAAATACACCAACATGCTGACAGACAGCTCATAGTGTCAGGAGGGTGCTGCAGGAAAGACCTTTCACCGGGATAATACACCATAATAATAATAATATCCCCAGGATATCACAACCCCAGGATGTGATAGAATGTGAACGATAAACACGAGTGATGGACATTGACTTTGATCCCATTCCTCCTTCTGTTCTTGGCTCCCCATCATGAGAGGTGGGAACCAACACTGCTGAATTCTGGCCATTGGTCCCGTTAAAATGCCCAACTCAAATATGTTCGGCCAGCTGAGACATTGCTTGTTGGTGGCAGCTACCACCTGGCTCATTTACTTTAGACTGAACAGTGAACAAGACAGTGACATTTGGGAACTGAAGGAGTACTCATATGGAACAAATTTGGGCACAAAAGGTGGATGGGTGCTCCACCCTAGGGGACTTGCTTTCTCCATCTACAGAGGGAGTCTGTGATCTGGATAGTGTTTATTTAGATAAGGTGGTATGAATACCCAATCATATCCGAGCACCACAGCTATAGATCAGTTGGAAATCAAAAGCTATACATTTGGATGGTTGCCTATAAACACTGAAGCCAAAGGCAGCTTCTGAAGTCCTTGGTTTCTAACCAAGGTTATGAAAACAGTGACTGTCTCCAGCACTCACAAAAAAATGCTGCCTTTGCTGAAAGCAATGGAGGGGTTACAAAGGGCAGCCCTGAAATGTTCTGAGGCATGAAGAGATTGGATCTAAAATTATTTGATGAGAATTTCCTCACTGCAGGAAGCACAGTTAGAGGCATCCCTAGTGATAGATGAGAATCACCAGGAGCAGCACAAGTTCTGGAGTTCAATGACCCGTGCAAAGGCAAATCACTGTCCTCTTCGGTAGGCAGTATTGCTGGCAAAGATACCAGGAAAAAACAGCACCAAATCAAAGCTGGGATACTGGTAGATATTGCTAGAAAAATAAGTAAATAAATAAAATAAAGGTAATTGAAGGGTCTTTTCTTCTATTTCCTTCAATTATTCAACCCACCAACTCTTTTGTGTTCTAGGATTGCTCAATTCTGCTGCAGCTGATATAGCAGAACTCAGCAGAAATGTAAGTTAATGCAAACCCTGGTGAGTGTTTTTGGCTGTATACGAAAGCTGGTATGATTCTCCCCAAAACACACTTCTTCAGCATTTCATAAGACTTTGTGAAACACTAAAAGTCAGATTTTCTATAGCATTATAGATGTGGCCCAGCTTTTACATAGAATCATAGAATCATTAGGGTTGGAAAAGACCTCCAAGATCATCTGGTTCAACCATCATCCTACTACCAGTATCACCCACTAAACCATGTCCCTAAGCACCACGTCCAACCTTTCCTTAAATTCCCCCAGCGATGGTGACTCCACTGCCTAGCTGGGCAACCCGTCCCAACCCTGACTGCTCATTCTGAGAAGAAATGTCTCCTAATTTCCAACTTGAACCTCTCCTATTGCAGCTTAAGGCCATTCCCTCTGGTCCTATCACTAGTTATCTAGGCTGACCCTCAGCTCCCCACACCTTCCTTTTAGGTAGTTGTAGAGAGAAATAAGGCCTCCCCTGAGCCTCCTCTTCTCCAATCTAAACAACCCCAGTTCCTTCAGCCGCTCCTCACAGGACTTGTGTTCCAGGCCCTTCACTAGCTTCATAGCTATTCTCTGGACACGTTTGAAGGCCTTGATGTCTTTCGTGTAGTGAGGGCCCCAAAACTGAACACGGTACTTGAGGTGCGGCCTCACCAGAGCTGAGTACATTTTTATTTATGAACACAAAAATTCCTGCATTTTGTCTCAATGTCCAGGTGTGAATTTCTTCCAATACCTAATTATCACGCTTTACCTTTTAACAGTATTAATTCTATTTTCCTTTGATTTTTGTTTTTCCTTTCTTGTAAAATTTCCACAAATTCCCCCACCTAGGTAGAAATAAAAGTATTGTGATATTCCACCAAACTTAGCAGTGTACAAGTTTACCCTTCAAATTCTTGAAAGGATCAATATTAAAAACAAAAAATACTACCCTTCCCCCCATTACAAAAATGAAAAGATAATGGCTTCATAGATAAGAATAAAAAGTTTTAATTTCTCTGGATAATTTTAATTGAACATTTTAACTTAATATAAATTCTGGTATTTATGAGGAGGGTTCATTTTCAAAGTTATTTTATTTCTTTTTAATCATGGCTATTAGTCTTCTTGCATTTACTGTTCTAGACAAACTCCCACTGTTGCCGATGTATTAGAGCAAAACCCATTGCTAAAATATCTCTTTTATGTATGCAGTCAGGAAACAGGTCTAAATCTTTGTCAGATAAATCCAATTTTACTTTTAAATGGCACTAACCTTGAGTATGTATCAACTCCTCAGCCACTAAAAATTCTTGAGATTCCTTCTCTAAGAACATTCATTTACATAATAGTTGAACTCCTTTATTTGTTATTTCTCTGGAAAGGACAGGCTGCCCTTAAGTGTTTTTAATCCATATTTTATACTCTTCAGATTTTTATTTTTTTTTCTGAAGGTCAAGTATAACATATCTCAGCAATGGATTTTACTCTTCTTTAAAAACAACAAAAAAAGACTAAATAATAACCACCATCCTTGTTCTTCCATCTCCATGGAATTCCAATTGATTCAGGTCACATTCTCTGTAACACCAGAAAAAGAAGCCTTTTCTTGTGAAAAACTTTGTCTGGAAAGGTCCATTGGTCTTGATCAGCATTTTCCCCAAAAGACTGTAACCCTTGAGTTAAACTGGTTTTCTACTCTAAGAGTGGGATTCACCTGACTAAAGTACATCTCTTGCTGACTCCTGTTACAACGAAGAGAAAGTCACTTAGACTCTTCTCAAGTTATCTAAAGCAGATACCTAAAATGAGCAGGGTAACTCCTTGTTAGTTCCTGTTTCTCTTTACTAACCATGGAAAGAAGAGAAACTACCACAGATGTAACTGTCTGAAGTACACACATCAAATGTATCTCACCCTCAGTGTCAGAAAAGCTTCTGATCTTAACAGCAACACACAAATCATTTTACGATGAGAGAATGTTATTTCAGGCCTGTTTCCTTCAAACATGATTCACAGAACAGCAGTAAGTGCTTTCTTGCAAAGAAATGTGTAGAGAAAACAAAACAAAACAAAAAAAAGAACCAACAAAGCATTGTTCTACTGAAAAGTATCTCAGAAGGAATCCTTTGATGCAAAGACAATAAAGCTACACTGTTCTGCACATGTATTCCTTATTCTGTAAAACAAATAATTCACTCCACTGGACACATTCTCTACTTGGAGCTTTCCATACATGAGGTTTAAGATGACTCCATGAAAAGCAATAAAAAGCACTACCATTTATCCTTGCACAAATTCCCTCTCAGATCTGAGAAACAGCTGCAATGGTTTCATATCCACTATTGGAAGAATATAAAAAATACATCATCAAGTCAAAGGCTTCCAGTGCAAGAGAAATCAAAGTAAATGAGTACAGCAGCATTATCCATTACAGCCATCAGTCATCTGAACAGAGACTGTTGACATAAAACCAGGACTGGTTGGCTCAGACATCTGCACAAAAAAATTGAACATACTCCTGTTTCTCCATGTGCACCCTGAAAAGAGAGAAAAGGCCTAAAAATACCACACAGCTGCACAGACTGGGATGAGCTCATGTGAAGGGTGAGTCAAGCTCTCTTGCTCCTCTTTGTGGTTCTGCAATATATCAAAAGCAGCGTGGACACAGCCTCATATTCAAGCTAGTCAGAGTGGGTAAAGCCTATTTCATAAACCACAAGTAGACACCTAATTTCAGAAAAAAATGGAAGCTCCTCTTTCACATTTCCTGTTAGTTATCTGAAGCATCTTCTCTTCTCTTCACTGCTACCAATCTAAGTAAACCAGCTGTTGCAAAGCCCAGTCCCAGTCCTTTTTATCAGCTGTCCAGTGAGCATGCATATCTATCCTAAGCCGATGAAAGCTGCCCCTTGTACATCTCATTGGGAACTGCAGAGAAACAATAACTATTAATAATGTCCATGAATTAATCCTGTAACAACAAGAAAACAAAGATGAGGACAGGTCCCTTCCAACTGAAAAAAAATAAAAATAAGCATTTAAAAGATCACGAAAATGATCCTTACATTTATTACCGGTCCACTACAAGGGGCTCAAATGGTTTCTCAACTTGAGTCTTTTAAAAGGAGAGTATATTACAAAGTCTAGAAATCACTGCAGTTAACTTCTTCATGACTCCTAAAGTTTCAAATCCATATTAGACATAGATTGCCATTCCTATGGCTTCCCAAGAGGTTATTTTTTTTCAAAACCAAGAGACAGGAATGATGAACCTTTTCTTCTTCATCCTGCACACAATCATCACTTTCAGTAGACTTATGTAGGGGTTTCCTCTGCATGAAAAAGAATGGAAATAAAACCTTCAGTGTAATCTTATATGTTTATTATGATGAACTAAAATAAAATTATACTGATTACACTAAATTACTAAATTAAACTAAATTAAAAATGAAGGGATTTAATAGTGTACAGTTTTATGGTGAGAAAAAGTCATTCAAAATCTACTCCTCTTTGCAGGGACTTGAAAAATATATTAAGAGAAGGAAAATTGCTTTTCCTTCTTAAACAGATTACTCCAATGTATATCTGGTGTCAGCAAAAAGTATACTGTTGGACCAAAATAAGGAACACTACATGATTCAAGAACATTTTAGTTCTCACTCAAAAAAAATTGAATGCAACATTGAGCTGTGACAATAATCAAGAACAACAAAACTCAGCATGAGTGCTGGTCTGCTGAACCAAACTGATTTGAAATATTCAGTTAGTGTAAATCAGCAGGATGGAGCCATTGGGACAACAGTGATTTACAGTTTCTGAGAACACAGTTTCTAACATTGAAAGTGAAGCACATCTCTGATGATGATTGGTTTTGCATCACACTGCCTTAGTGTTTAACTATTTTAATTGGGATGGGTATTAGGAACAAAATACTTCTGGCAAACAGTAGGGAATACCTGATTATCAGTTGTGCCCTGAATAAGAAAAGAACTAGGTTAGTGGTTTTTTTTAAACATGAGTAACTTGTGGATGCCCATAAACCTTCCACTGGAGCTGAAGCTTCCTAGCACACAGTTAGGGCAAATCTGTACCATCTAAATGTAATTCCAACACAGTGGGCAGGGGGTGGTGGTGGGAGGAAGAGTTCTGAAAATAATTTTAAAATACATTTTCCTGACAACCCAGCACAGAATTTTTTACTGCACTAAACAAGACCAGGCACTGATTTGAAGTCAGAGTCCCCTTCCCTTCAAAGGGCTCCATGCATCACTGCATACATTCAGATGAAATTCTTCAGTAAGCTAAAACAGGCAAGTCTGCTGCCAATGTGCAACAGACTTCTGCTTGTCACTGGGTCCAGAAATGAATAAAGCCAATTACAAATTTTTATTTTAAGAAGGAAAAAAAATGCATCTGTCCACCAAGTTTTCTCTAGAAGCATTTAAATGTTAGTAATGATTTAGAAGTAAAAATCTCAGGGGAAGGAAGGGAATGAGCTTTCAAAGGAGTTTTACGTCAGTAGAAGCTGGGAATCTTAGATGTGAATTTCAGCAAGAATATGAGTTGAAATGCAAAAAGTAATTCTCAGAGATGAAAGGTCAATTCAGTTTACAATATGTTGGCAGAATTCAGTACAAGATTTTGAAAACCAAAGGAATGTATCACATGAATATGAAACATTCTCTCTTTGTGATTACAACCAATACTTATTAAACTAGCAGCAGTGTCACTTGGAAATTTTCTCACTAAAATGTTTTCTATTGGACAACTGAATTCACAGAAGTCTAAATTTTTCATGGGAACATGCAGATCTGCCTTGGCAGGAAGGGTTTCCCCTATTACACATGGAATTACTTACCACAGCCAGCTGAAGCAGCTGGACCCAGGATGGTCTGAAGCTCAGCATCAGGGTGCCAGCAAGAATTAGCCTGTTGTCTGTATGATCAGGCACAAATCCCCACCTCCCTGAGACCAGGTGGGACCTCCGGCCACTACAGTGCTGGGTGCTATGGAGAGAGATTTCTGCTCCACTTAGAGAACAGCTAAATGTCTTTTGGAGCAGGAAATTGTATCCAGTGCTCCTACATCCCAGATGAACTTATGGGCCGTCAGGATATAGATTCAGTCTAATTCTGTCTTGGTAAAGTTGTTGTATTTTGTGATAATTAGACATTCAGGAAGACAGTGTGAATGTGCACAGTATTTTGATGTTTTGTTTATTGGGAAGCTTTACACTATGATCATTCATCACAGCAATGTCTGAGAAAATGTCTGAAGGCAGTGAAGTATTATCTCCCTTTCTGACAGATGAGTTATTAATTCCTGACACACAAAACATTCATTCTCAGTGTGAGCTTGGGCAAGACAGTAGGGAAACCAGACTTGACATGCTCAAAGTGGACACAGCCAGATACAAAATCCAGTCCCACCCTGCAACCACACTGCCGTTTCTTTTTCTTTTGATTCCTTCAGAAATCTGGAATGAAGCATTGTGCAGGAAGAAAATGCAAAAAAAAATTATTTAAGGTCAAATTGTATCATATATGCTGCATTATCCACTAGGCTTGGTATTTTGTCTAAGTATTAGGTAAGTGTTTTTGCAATGTGCACAGACATACTTGGCGATAAGCTCCAGAATAATTAAACCCCAACCAAAACTGCAGTAAACCAGCCAACTCCACTGACTTGCCTGAAGCAATATTTATATTAGGTGCCCAGATATATTTTATAACTATACACTGAGTCTCTCTGAACACTTTAAAAAAAAACCACTGACTTAATACAGAAGCTGAAACCAGAGGATCCTACAAGGACATACAAACACTAACCTCTTGATTACACGTTGGTGTAAAAGTGGCTGTGTACTCTGCCAGGGCCATGTCGTTCACCAGGCGTTTCACCTCTTGGTCAAATGCAGAGTTCTTAAATCCTCTCTGGTGAAGTTCGCCATGCATCCTGGTAATGAAGCTGTTCCTTTCTTGGCATTTTTGTGTGAGGCAAGCCAACTTTGCCTACGCATGATGAACACACACACATTGATCTCACTCCCTGCTGAGACCTCAAGATTGCACTTTGTGTCTGATGAAATTCCACACATTGACCCAAAGCTGTATATCGCAGCCCTATGCTTCTAGGCCATTTAGGTGCTTCTGCACCCTGCAGCAGAGGGGCACACACACATAAACTGGAAAGAAGCATCCACTTCTCCATCTGTGAAGACCCACTTTCCCAAACTGAACAATAATAGCAATAATTAGCAATAATTATCCCTTAGCAATAATGTCAACCAACCCTTGCCTAAAAGCCCAGGAGCAAGCAGCTAAGTCAGGAGTAGCTGCAAAAGCAGGCACACACACACACAGAATGGCTATGATACACTGAAAAATAAAGCAAGTCTGTAAACACAGGGATACCCATTTGTGGATGCCCTGCTTCAGTCTCAAGGAACACACACTACCTTCAGAGGAGCTAGCATCAGCTTCACATCAGACTTTCTCTTCTGAAGTTCTTTTGTCTGAAAAGTTGAAAAACATAATTTATTAACTTATTCAAAAATCACTTTAAAATATTGCAGCAATTTGTTAATATTTGTTTTAGACCTGACTTTCAAGGCATACACTTCACATAGCTGTGTGACCCTGTATCACAAATACCATGAAGCAGTGTAAGTTGTTTGTACATTGATAAGCCCTGGCACTGAAACACTGCCCTAGCATTGATGTTGGGCTTACGTATTACCAAGTGCTTTTGGATGCTTTTTAGATGTAGCCCGATAACACTGGGGCTATTTCATCACAGCAGAATCACATTAAAGGGTTGGTATCATTCATTATGCATTAATACTCCCATTTGGACTGTGAATCTTCCAAAATACTCATTTGGGGAAAAGTTTTCCCTTTTCTTGTTTGAATTATCTTGTAGAATGCAAGAAACACAGGAGGATTTTCTGCATGTGCATTCCATGGCAGGTTTTGAAATGTGAACATCAACAACTTTCTACTTTGACATGATTGATGCATTCACTACTATGAGGTGAGCCAGATGACCTGCTCTGTATCTTATGAGTAAAATGTTTATTATTCATGGGAAAACTGCTTTCTGATTACGCAGAAATGTAGTGTTCTGCCAGGTAAAATCTATTTCTATTATAAATCAATACAGTATTATTTGGCAATAAAGTACAGATTCATTTGCATTCATTTTGCTTGAGAATTTGTATTTCTATAAAGCCTGGAATAAATATATCACATGCGTCCAGGAAGAAAAAGACTCCCTTTATAAGAACTCAGTTATGCTGAAAGAGGTCACATGGTCCTCTGCCAAAAAATAGCAAGCTAGGGAAGGAACATAGTATGCAGGATAGAAGAGACATGTCTTTGCATTGCACTAGCTCTGAGGGAACAAAGAAAAAGCTGGAAGTAGGTCCCTTCGCTGGTAACATTAAAATTTTGATGAGGCACAGAACAAAATGCTTTGTTGATCCTACAGGACAATTAAGAGCTGCCCATTTATGTGGATAGCACGTCTCACCCTTTGCTCACCTACCATATGCAACATCCATCAATGCAGGCAGCAGACACTATAAAGCAAATTCATTTTACCAACACTACTCTGTTAAGAGGCAGCCTAATCAACTCCTGGGAGAAGCCACTAGGCCTCCACAGAGGGCTGGTTAAAGTAAATCACAGCACATGACAAGGCAGTGGATTTATTGTGGAGGAAGGGTGATGAAGCTCGTACTCTGCAGGAAGAATAAAATTCTCTGTCTCCGATATTTCAGAGAAAAGAGAGGGGAGAAGAATGTTCTGTTCATTGTGTAGTGTGCTATTGAGAAAATGCCATTTGCTCCATTTGCTAGCTGTTTCAGAGCACAATGGGCAATTCCAATTTGGCTCATATCGTAGCAATCATCTCTTTAAAAAAATTAGTTCCAAAGAAATGGAAAATAAAATCTAAGGAAACAAAGCCTTAACAGGAATTAATTTCCACCTAGGTGCTCAGCTGTTGCAGTCACACTGAGAGCAGTTTGACTTTAAGGCAGCAGCTCTACAAATGTTAATGAGAGTACCTGCCCTGGTTTGCCAGGTGAAATACAATGCACATGTGTAAAAACTGCTAATGTAAGCATTCTTGCATGTATATGGAGGTTCTCTTTTACCATGCCAGAAAAATAATCAAATAAACACTACAACACACACCAAAACGAAAATGAGTTAATGAAATTTCATAGTGTGCAACACTAAGAGCTGGATCTTAAAAAAAAAAAAAAAAAAAAAAAAAGCTACAAAAATTCTATTAAAATTCTACCTCTAGCTCAGTTTATCTCCTGGTCTGATACAGTGCAACAAGAGAGCTGGGAATGCTAAAAATCCTGACAATTTAAGCCAAGAAAGTGGCTCTGTAAAAAAAATTTCAGCACTACTTTGCTTGCATTATGCTATGGGGATTAGAGCAGAGACTGGTGGCAACTTTTATTATGGACTATCATCTTCCCATAATGTTGACCACCCAGACAGTTTATATCTTTGCCCTATTTCTCTGAAGTAAGGGTTACTTTTACATGTCTGTAAACCATTTAATTATCCCCAGACACATTGCTAGGAAAGATTGTGATTTTGGTTCTCTGTTTGGAGACGAGGTGGAATCTGAAGTCTAAGCTCACATCACTCCGCCCTTTCAACTGCACAGGCAACAGCTTTCCTGTACCTTTTCACATAGCTGAGTCTGAAGGAGTTCCACTTCATTTTGCAAGCCCCGAAACTGATTTTGTAATGCAGCCTGGTCCCTGAGCTGGGCCTTCAAGGTCAACACTTGCTGCTGTAATCTTTTATTGGCTATTTTATTCTCCTCTGTTTCCTGAGCATCTTTCATGTTGTACACAGGCTAGAGAACAAATACACAGATTTTCAAATTAGCTGTAGAAAAATATAATAATATTCTCAATCAAGTTTTAAAGCAACATACCTACCTTGTAACTCATTTTTTAAGCTAATATGAAATGTCTGACTTCAAACCTTCATAAACACAGTAGCATATCTTGCAGTAATCTTAAAATTGTTTATGAGCATTGAGTTCTTGATCCCCTCTGAGAGTAGGTGTAGGACTGGGATTCCACAAAGTTCCTTCAAGGTAAATACTGAATTATAATCATTTCATACTTGGGGAAACTGGGGCACAGGCAGATTAAGTGACTAACCTAAGGTCACAGAGTGAGTAAGAATAGAATTCAAAAGTCCCCAGTCTCCTGCTCTAACTTCTATAGAATATGCTCCTTGTTTTTTCATGTGTTTATCTCAGAGAGCAAATTGCATGCTTGCAGTTATATTTTTGTTATGGAAGATTAATAATAAAAGTAGTCTCATTTTAAGTACAAATATTAAAAATACTAAAAAATATTAATTACATTGAAATGTAATAACAGTGGTACAGAATAAGTGTACCACTGGGGGAGGAGGAATTAAATTCAGAAGCTCTTTCTTCCCCTTCTTTTTGTTTGTTTGTTTGTTTCATGCTCTTAGATTGAAAGGATTATTGAGAGTTTTAAATTTACGGTCAGCATCATAATGTCAGCTCCTAGAAGTGATACTATCAGGCTAAATATTCACATGTACAGTCTAAGAATGAGAAATAAAGGAAGAGAGGGTGAAGAAAGTCTTGCAAAAAATGTTAACACTGTTGTGAACTTATATTTTATAAATATTGAGTTGATACACACAGCTGTTCAAGCTTTCCTGTAACATTATACATGCAATTCTAAAGATATCAAGCATTTTGGTAATTAAGCTAAAAATCCTAGTCAGACCTACCATAAAAACACGTAACTTTCTGAGAAAATGTGCAAGGAGATGGTTTGATTTTCACGGATATTAACACTGAAACAGCTGAGAGAAGAGCTAGTGTTCAGCCACAGCAGCACAGTGTAATTCTGCATGGCTTTTTGACCAGCTTTTGAATTTGAACCCCTCAGTGACTAGAATATATTAAAAGTACCCTTTCACAGAAAACAGCAAACTGTATTGATAGATCATGTCATTCTGGCTGCAACACATCACTGCAACACAGATAAAAACATGAGTATGACATTTTCATACTCTTCCATATGAAGCAAGTTCTCTATGTGTAGCATTCTAATAATTCGTTCATGCTTTGTATCAAAATTGTTGGCTCCCTCTTGTGTTAAGAGAAAAGAACAAAAGCAAGTGTTGGACACATCAAGATTGATTAAACCAGCATTGCAATGACAAAAGCCTGAGAATGAGTCTAAGATATAGTATTTTCCTCATCTGCTCTCCTACACACACACAAAACAAAAGCACTTTAAATGAAAAATGGAAGCACTCCCTGACTGAAGATGCTTAATAGAAAAGAGGTGGAAAAAATAATTTGCTTGAAGGTTAAAGACAGGCAAGGGTTGCCTCTCTCCTTTTGCACTTTGCTGGCCTGCTAGAAGATTTCTCTAGCTAGAAGATTTCTCTAACTAGAAGATTTTTCAAAGCACAAATGAGGCATACAAGATTTATGTCACTTTCAGGTGTCCCAATTAACCATTGGTCAAGCTCCAAAAGGGTGAAGGACCCAGCAGCTGGGAAATAACTGAAGGATAACTAAACACAAAACTTAGCATTTAACACACCACATTCTATAAAATCTGACAAGATCTCTAGCATTTAAAGTTGATGCCTAAACATTAACAAAAAATATTCCTTCTCTATGTGCTGCGCTTGTCTCAAAACTGAAAATTAGAACAAATATGACCTTTTGGCTACAGGCCATGATAAGAATTGGGAGATCACTTGGGAAACATGGCACTTCATTTACTATGTACATTTCATCCAAAATTCATTTTCAAAGCTGCTCTCTTGATGCTCACCCACAGATTTCTCCGAACTCCTACTATACTGCTAGAGTTCAGAAAGCCACCTCAACAGAAAATTTCCCCAAATATTCTCATGTTAAATGGTACTTTCCCTGTTAGCAACACCACTAAAACAAGAAGCGTTAGTAGTAATTTTGAGGTATATTATATCAGCTTTCATTTGTGATGTATAATATCACAACAGTCTTTTGAAGTCTCAGCTGAGAACTAGAATCCCTGGCAATAGAGGCTGTAGAGCATAAGGCACAAGGTACAGCCTTGGGTTCTAGATTGAGAGTGCTCACATCCTCACTTCTTTCAAGCAATTTCAATTAGCAATCAGAATTCAACTGCCTAAACATCCTATCGTGTGAGGAGTAAAAGCCTAAATAAAGTACACAGGGCTTGCAGATGGCCAACTATGCTCTCAGCCAGGATGCCTTAAGGCATTTCAGTGGGATAAACAGTGACATTTAGGCAACTGAACTGAGCCCAAAATCTTTACATGTTCCAGAATGTGTTTTTATTTTCTTCTGAAGCCATATCTATCAGGTTCAAACTAAATTTGCAAATATTGCAGGTTATTACAAGATTGCTTTTCCAACTGATGTATGCTTCAAATTTTATCTTTGTAGTTCTCCTGTCAAGAAGGAGAGAAATATTTTGAAGGCTATCTGAAAGGTCTTTTTGAAAGCTGCTTCCAGGAGATTATTCAATAATTAAAAATATTTAATTAAAACAGTTTATTTGGGCAGGGGGAGAGGGAATAAAGACTTTATCAAGACACAGAACCCCCTGAAAATTCCAAAAGCTTCCATTAACTGCAAAAACACAGAATTTCTGTTATAGATATTTTCTAATTATTTTTTTTTCTCTCCCATGTGATAGATTTCCTGGATTGAGCTGCTTACACCAGTTAGATTTTGACTCCCCATTAATCCATGCCTCCTGCTCATTTGCAAATGAAGTTGCTCCACAAAATGTCTAGCATCACAGCTTCTTTTTGCCTGTCCAAAACTAGTTCTCTGCACTGGAAGGCAAAATGATGCAGTGGCCCAGCACCAGAAACATGGGCCCAATACCAGAAACATTCTCAAACTGCAGAGCACAGAAAGCAAAGAGCACTCAAAGGAAACACCTTCAACTTTTGGTGGTTTCGTTAAGGTCACTTGAAAATCCACTTTACATAACATCTTACTTTAGAGTTTACAGCTGCATTGTCTCTAGGTGCTCTATACTTGCTTCAAATTTCTTGCCAATAACATTAACAGGTGTCTCATCATCCAGAATGTCCTGTCCAAAGGAATGTGCTTTTCTTGATTCCATTTACATACATACCATTAATTTGCAGTGCTGCTTTTGAAGCACTTTGTCCCCAGCTTCTTGTTTAAGATGGTCTAATTCGGACAGAACCTGTATCAAACGAGTTTTGATTTCTTCATATCTTGTTTCCGCAAAGCCAAGTTCCCTGTACCACTTCTGAGCCTAGAAGGAAAAAATAAAAAGCAAAATTACTGAGTGCAGTTAGTCTATCGGTGATACCTTTTCACAATACTGGCTTACAACCACGGACTTGAGTCTGATCTTCATGTCACAAGGTTTAAATTGTTGTTATTTGGTTTAAATAAATGGAATTATACCATAAAATACCATCTTATAAGAAGGAATTAGTAAAATAGCTTAAATCAAGTTCTGTAGAAATGTATTTAACTGGAGTTATGCAGTATAGTAGATTAAAATTGAAGTTGATTTCTGAATTTGAAGCTAACTGGATGACTCTGAATGAAGCTTAAAAAAATGTGGCGAAGGTGAATGTACTTACAGTTTCAGAGATTATATCTTTGAAAGCCATCAGAGCAAAATGAAAGTAAGATTTTATCAGCAAGGGGTAAAACAAATCCTGAAAAATGTCAAAAATGAAAAATACTGTGGTGGAAGAAAGAAGCCTATAGACTTGTGAGCTTATACCTTTGTATTACTTCTAAGATGAGTTTTCCCTGCTTATACACATTAACTGTCATTTCAGAAAACAACAACAAAAAACACTCAGTAGATACTCTGGCTGCCTAACAGCAAGCTCCCTTCCTCATATGAGGCATCATTTCTGCTCCTTTCTGAATCAAAGGCTTCACATTCTTTTAAATAAACTGAGGAAGTTGTAGTAATACACAAAATGATTAGAAGGACTCAAGTTAATCAAATTTTTAAAATTAAAAAAAATAAATAAATTATTTTAAAATAAATCTCTTTGCAGCAAACTGTAAGGTCAGGAGTCAGCCATCAACCCACCACTTCATTCCATCTGCCTCATCTGAAATCAGGGAAGTCACACAGTGGTTGTCGAAGGACATCCATTTTGTACACCCACCATGTGTAATCCTACTGCTCTTTTACATATTCAGTGTAACACTTGTAATTGCCAGTGTTATTCCACAGGCAGTCTAAGCAATGCCTGTTATCATGTGAAACAGCTCCATAAATACAAGCTTGACATAAAGCAATACATTCTGCTTAGATAAGCAAGCACTGGAGATTGTTCAATAAAAACAGGAATGTTAAAGCTAACATATCAGGAAAGGCACAATGCAGAAAGCTTCCTCAGTTGGTATTAAAACCTCAGATTTGCTGTACACAGGCACAGAATTAGCTGTCCATCCAAATAAGAATTTCCACATAGGTGGTGTTGGACTTTGTGTTTCCTACATAGATGTCAAGACAAGAGGCAGGGTGCTTGCTTTGCACTCTCACTAGGTATAAAAACCACTTGACTATATCAGTTTTTGTCATTTTGCCTCTTAATCAAAAATTTGTCTGAATTCAGGTTTGCCGTAATTCTCAGTGTTTCTGCTGCTTTCTGTTCTTCATTTCTAGTGAGGGGGAGGAAGCACTCTGCCCAGAAGTGGCTGCAGCAGATATTTTTGTTTGGTGTGTCTTTATTAAGCACTCAGCTTCTCTCAAAGTCCACCGAAGGAATGCACCTTCACTTGAAATTCCAGCCAACAATGAATAACTGTGCAATTCATCACTCACCTGAAAGATCACAGAGATATGGTTCAGTTCTGCAGATCAGAGACTTCCCCGTTTTGTAAAAGCATTAAACACTTGTAGAAAGAACATCCATGTAAGAAAACAAAATATAAAACAAATTTTCTCCTGAGAATTACATCAGAGTGGGAGGTTACCTCTATTTTTGATTTTTCCAATTCCTTTTGCTTTATTTTTAGTTCCTCTTTTGCCTTTTCCACTTGCTCTTTCATCATACTGTAGCTTTCAAATGTGCTGTCCTGGACACACAACAGAAAGACATGACTCCTCTCACCTATACACAATGATGTATGCACACATTTTTACTAAAAAACATACACTTTCATTTTATCTGAATTACTACAAATATTTGCATACAATCAAAATATTAGAGATAAATGTTCCCCTGTTGATCATTCTCAAATAAAGTAACAATTCTGCTTTTAGAACATTGTAATCTTCATAGAATTACACTGCAGTGTAAGATTCATGGTTGCAGAAGAAAAATAAAGATGAGAAACTGAGAATAATTAAAGATCTTGTCTTTACACATATTTCACAAGAATGAAAACAATTTAAAATAGACCCTATCAGAATAAAAACTAGTAAGTGAACATGTACCACTGCAACAGAAATTTGTGGAAATCACTCTACCAGAAGCTTTCATTCTTGCAAGCAAATAAACAAAAATTTCCCTGAGCCAATGCACTCAAGTATCATTTTTGACTTTTGAAGCTCACTGTAGCACTTTAAAATTCTCTAACACAACATTCAGAAAACAGCTCTCTGGTATTTTGCCTTCTGTTTTAAAGTTAACTGCAGCACCTCAGATCTCCAGGACATGGCAGCTTACAATACCTTCCATATTTCTAAGTTAATTAAGCTTTGTCCTCTGAAGGGCATTTTTTTAAGAAGATCCTGCTTGATAACATTCCTTATTGGTACTACTTACCTCTTTGCTGGGGAAATAGCTGGAGGGGTCTACTCCTTCTTCTTCAGTCTGAGTTATACTACATGATGTTTCGATTTTCTTTGGATTAAGATCACGTTGTTTACTTCTGTTTTCTTCTTTTAGGTTTACTACATTTTCCTTTGTTCCCAAGCATTTTTCTTTTCTCAGATCTTCATAGGTGAAACCCAAAGAAGACACTAATTCTTTTAATTTGTTGTTTTCTAAAATAAGGTTTGCATTTGCTTTTTGAAATTCATTAAATTGTTCTGCAGTTTCTTTCTTGATTCTGTCTATAGTTCTTTTTAGCACACATTTTTCCTCCTGTAAATCAGAAATAGTTTGATAATAGCTGGTTTTGCACTCTTGAAGTTCTGAAACCAAGGCTTGGTATTTGTCTTGTTCACATTTTACTTCTGCCAAACTTCTCAATAAAGTTTCTTTTTCATCTTCTAAAAGAGATATTCTGTGCAAGTTTCTCTCTCTCTCTTGTATTAATTCATTATATTTCACTACATAGTTCTCATTGTCTTGTAATAATTTAGCTATTTCTATGAAGCACCTACTTCTTTCTTCTTTCAAGTCTAAAAGCAGCTGTAAATACCTCATTTTCCTTTCACCAAGGGATAAAACACTCTTGGGAAGGTGATTTGATTTAACTCTCAAGGAATCTTTGTCAGAATTCCTATTTTTATCTTCAACATAAGAGAGATTCTTAGAGAAGTTTTTGGCAAAAATTGTTCTTGGGCTCATCCTGTTTTCTTCTGATATGTTGTTACTTATGTTGTATATGTCAGCAACTTCATTCTCATTAAGTAAATTTTGAAAAGAAGCAATGTTAGCTTCATCTACTTCTAAAGCATATTGAAAATACGCATTCATCTCCTCTTCTAGTGCACACATCTTCTGAACGTATCTCTCATTCTCGTCTTGTAATAAACTGACCTTTTTTGAGTAATTTTCATTCTCTTGCATCAGTAGAAATATTCTCTGAGAACACACAGCCACTGCTTTTTTCAATGTATATATTTTCACATTATGCTCATTAACCGCTTCCAGTGGTGACAGATGACAGAAATACTCATAAAAATTGCTTTCTGGCAGGAACTGTTTGCTTACACACATAAGCAAACTCTTTTGCATAGGAGACAGTATTTTTAGCAGATAACTCTCTTCCTGTGACCAAAAACTTTTCTGAAGATATGCATATTGCACATTTTCAGCAGACATCTTTTGACATGAGAAATTCTTCTCTTTTGATTTATGTAATTTCATGGACTGGTCTTTCTTTTCTTTCAGTCCAACATTCCTGGACGACTTTATTTGGTGAGTTGTTTTCTGAGGTTTCTCTCCTTTCTCTTCCGTTTCCATTATGTCTCCTCTATTGCATGTCCTGGTCACATCAGAGATGCAGGTTACTGAGAGGGTTTCTTGTTTCTTCTTTAGTTCAAGACTCCCATTGAAATGATTCTGTAAGTCTTTAAAATCTACAGATATATTGTGGACACCTTCTGGGCTACCTGGTTTGTCTTTAGTGTCCATTACAAGCTTCCCAGGCCAAATCAACATAGTTTTATTTATAACTTCAGAATTTTCCTCAAAAACACAGGTAACTTGTTGTGCTTGGGCTTTCTCAGTCTGTATTTCTTCTTCTTTAACTCTCCTTATAAAGATTCTTTGGTGATACTTTATATCATTAACACCTTTATCCAGACTTTTATTTTTACATTTATTTTTGGGTAGAATTTGTTTGTTTTGCTGATGTTTTTCCAAACAGCATTTTTCTAGAAAGAATGTGAAATTGTCATTCACAAAGCAAGGTGGATTTCCATGAAGAACTACAGAAGCTTTTTCAGAAAAACCTTGTTCTGCAACAACATAAAGGCCATCAGAGCAAAAAGTGGTATTTGCCTCACTGAAATCCAAGCTCCTCGTTTTCTTCACCATTGTGACAGCTGCTATGTGGTAGCTTTCAGGTTTTAACAAGATAAGGTAGGGCTTGTCCCTCATCAAAGTTTCAACCACAGAAACAGGGAACATCTTTGCTGGTAGATTAATAGCTTGTTCCTTCATGAGAGAAAACCATTCTTCATCTTTGGTTTCCTTACATATCTCATCAATAGTTAACTTCTCAGAACAAGGTGGAAGCAGTCTTGCTGCAGGATAGCTTGGGGTATGTCTAAACAAAGTGAAACTATCCTCTAGACCTCCTGGCTTTTTTGTCCCAAGGGTGACCTAGTAATAGCAAACCAGAAATGCTTCAAACTGAAAAATATAAGACAAGGTATATCATTCCATATCATTGTAAGTCATTTTTCACTTCATTCATTACACGCTTATTTACAGACAGATGAGAAAAGCATTGCCATAGTTTTCAAACAATCTCAATATTTAAAATAGAATAATGGTACAAATAAGAAGGTACAAATCATTTTCTTAGTGCACACCTTTACCCATCTTGAATAACATCTTTAGTAGAGATGATTTCAGGATACTTTGATATCCAACTTTAAATCCAACTCTTCTTTTTATCTCAAAATTCACAGATTCACTGTGCTCACAAAGATAACAAGAATAGCAGGAACTTTTCTTCTTACCAGTTTGATCTCAGATAAGCCAAGTTCTTCAGTAATGTTTGCAAAGGGTCCAGAATTTTGTTCCAAAACTGGTAGAATTTCTTCCCGTATCTTCTCTATCTGCTTTAGCCCATCAAAGCTACATCCTGGCGTTTCTGTTACAGTAAAGCACTGGGTAAGTGTGATGCCACTCACAGATGAAAAACAAACCCCCAAACTTCTGACCAGATACTTTGAACAGAAAGCATTTTAGTCAGAGTACACCCAAGACTACCTGTTCTAGAAAAAGTGCATATCAACTATGATGTGGAGATAAGCATGACATTAATCAAGAAAACATATTTCATAAGAAAACATAAATATTAAGCTCTAAATTTAGAAATATTTGGGAGGCTGTTCCCCACAGTTCTGAAAGCATCTAAAAAGGAAAAATATATCTCATTATAGTGAGTGGAGGAAAACTTGTAGGTTAAACTTAGAGGTTAAACCTAAGGGCTAAAATATTCTTTGCAGGTCTGTATTTGCATAAACTGAAATTTGCCATAAAATTCCCATTAATTTCAGTTAGAAGAATTAGCCTTCCAAAATCAGAGTTTTCATGTAATGTTTGGTCTAAAAAAAACAAATCTGAAATCTACATGGCATTCCCAAACACTATACTTCCATCTAGACATGGGAAATGTCCCCTAAATCCGCAGCTCTATAGCCTCTGGCAGTTCCAGGATTTCTTGGGAAAGCTCATATCTAAATGCTAGCATCATTGCTGTGAATAGTCATTCCCTCACCTTCTCAAGATATAGTTTGCAGATTAGGAGGTTTTTAGAAGGTCTTTTACCTTCTAAATCATGCATGCCACATGAATGAAGTCACCTACACTTTTGCTGCACAGAAGTGTAATCAAAAATTACATTTTGTTTTCATACCGTACTCTTTGGCATGTAGCAGTACAACTGGAGTTTGTGTAGCTCTGCTTTTCAGTGTATCTGATACTACTCCCCATTTCAGATTTTGAACATCATCCTGGACTAGGTCGTCATTCTTAATGGGAAGAGGAGGAGACAAATAAAAAGCAGACCATAAAAACAGTGTTTCTTATATGAGAAATAGGCATAAAGATTTCCTTTCCTATTAGCATTTACATTCAAAAGACCCATTATTTAATTATATATATAATTGCTGCTAGTTCATACAGTTTTCTCATTCCAACATTTTCCAGTAAATGTCATGATTGCTAGACTTCACTCTTTCATACACTACAACTACGTAAGGAAGAAATCTGGGTAATAAGCATGTAATATGTTGGCACACAGATGGACCACTAGCAGAGCAGAGTCTAACTGATAAGTCCATGAATAAATAAAAGAAAGTCTAATCAAAGAGGAAATTAGACTAATAGTTTGTTGCCCAGCATACTGCAGGATACAAAGACAATTGCTCATAGACTGGAAGAGTTCTTTACAAAAAGTAGAATAATTGTTCAGATCAAATTTTTCTTTACAGTTAATACTGTAATTATAGATTTCATATCCTGCTCATCTATCTTCACTCTCTGATTGAATTTATATACTGGGACAATTTCTGGTGCAAAGCAGATACCCTTAATATTTGATACACTGCAGATCATTTCACATCTACCCTGCTCATTTTTAGTGAACAGAATAATCAGGTTTGATTTTTCAACAAAAGACATAATTGAGGCTGTAGCCAGAACAACTACAGCACAGAAACTAAGCCAACACAGTCAATTCTGTCTTCCCACACATCAGATGCCAGCAGGAAGAAATCTCATCCCCTCTGGGTTGAGCTGCAGCTTTACAGTTACATACAGATGGAAAAGGCAGTGACTTCAAAGTCTGCCTTTCGCGTCTGCAAAGGCCACTTGATTTTCCACACTATTACCAGAATAATTTTGTGTGAGAATGATTTTGATTTCAACCCAAGCCATATTCTGCATTATATTCATCCATATTCATGCCCAGTTATGATACCTTGATTGGGTGGCATGATTTAACTGGAAACCACAATATTTCCAACATTTCTTCTTTTTCTCAGTAATACTGAAACTAATGTTAGTTCCTTGAAACACACTCATTCTTTACCTGCAAGTTTGCCTCTATTTTGTCCCAGATATCTTTTCTTTATTTCGGAGGGAACCCTTTGTGGGTTCCATCAAAAGATGGGTATACAAGAAGGTGTAAAAGATACAATGCTTGAATGCCAGGAACATCACAGCATGAAACCCATGCTTTGAATGTCACGTGAAAGCTGTAGAAAGGTGCATCATTTGGTGTTTCTTAACTTTCCTTCATTAAAACTTTGAGTGACCCCCTGATATTTACATCTAGAAATTGCCTGATAAATAAAGACAGAGGTACATGGTATAAGCTGCTTTTCTGTGCATTTTTCGTTCAGGCATAAGCTGTAATCAAGACACTGAAGGCAAGATCCTAATACCAATTCTGTAAAGTCACATTTCTAATGAGATTTATCTGACTACACCCCTCCATACAATTAATTTCACCTAGTTTTCAAGAATAATTGATGTGCTTGGCAATTTGAATGACAAAACATTGAGTGAGGAATCTCATACCGTGTGTATTTCACACGGGTCTGCTAAGCCTGCCTTCACAAACTACTTTTTTCCTGGCTGAGGAATAGACAAATGATCCTATTTGCTCTTTCAGTGAAAAATTATATACCAGCAGCTTTCCAGAAAAGCAACAGCATGAAAATCTTTCTTGTATTGCATACAACTCCTCATCTGTATTCCTGGTGATAAAGTATGGAGAGCTTAAATAGGATTTCTCTTGTAACTCTTTTGGTTTGAATACTCCAAGACCAATGTAATGAGATTAGGAAATTCTTTTTTTAATAGGTGATACTAAAAGATGAGTTGAGGGGAAATAGCCCTCTTCAGTTTTACAATACAACACCAGAGGTCTCCCTCCTCCTTTTATCATAGATACTGAAATGTATTTCCTACTATTTCAAGACACTATTTTCTACAGGAAGAATCCATGTGAATTCAGAGCAGTTCAAAAAAAAGGAGGAAAATACAACCAGTAATGCAGACTACACAAGGTTTGATGCCGCTGGTGCTATGTACAGGATTTAAGGAACACAATCAACTGTGCATCAGAACAAAGTACTTAGCATGTATTATGGCATGTTCATTTATACCAAAGGTATAAACTTGATAAACTCATAAGACAACATAGCTATAAATGAATAGTTGGAAAATAAAAGATTAGTAAACTTTGTGTAGGAGGAAAAAATAACTTTTTACCATGGTACGACATAGAATAAATGAGATTTGGTTCTATTTCTTGAAGACTTTCTGGATTAGTCTCAGGCCATTAGTCAGCTGATATACCCTGTTCTCACACCTTCACATAACTCAACATTTACTTTCTCCCTTTCTGAATATTCTCAAACAAAGAAATTCTCCACTACTTATTATCTGGCTCTGAAAGCCCTCAACCTGCCTGATTTTAGTTGGGCAGCCTCCTCACAGTGCACTAGTTTGTTGTACCTGTGTATGACCCACTCCAAGTCTCTCTAAAAATATCTTAAGCTTGGCTCAGGTGATGTATAAAAATGAGCAACAGCAGTGAGTCCTTCTGACAAATCAGAGCAGCTAAGTAGAGGTCATCTATGCTCTGTGGAAGAATCTTACCAACCATTTTCTGGTACACACATACATACACACACACAAAATAAATAAATAAATAAATAAATAATAAAATAAAATAAAATAAAATAAAATAAAAATAAAATAAAATAAAATAAAATAAAATAAAATAAAATAAAATAAAATAAAATAAAATAAAATAAAAGCTCCTGGAACTCATTTCTTTGGGATTATAAAGCCAGAAATGGTACCAAATCACTACTTCTGTTAAGATATGTTCAAGTACCAGATTAAAATCTTCTTGATTTCTTCTAGGCATACATGCACAAAGGATCCTCTCTACTTTCTCCCAGTCCTGGAATTATTCAGTGTGATTGTCCTCCTACACTAAGGGGATTTTATTCATGCCCATTACCTCTCAGTTAATTGCAGTTAAAATTGGGATAGTTCTAGGGATATCAGGTCATATAGGGATATAGGGATATCTGAATGGGATAGCTGAGCATGAGGCTTAACTTATTTCACTTTACTTAACAAATCATCAGACTAAAAATACCCTCTAACTGAGTGCATAAAGAATAAAACCTTTCTTGAGTTCTCTGCATTAAAAGAATTATTCTTTGTCAGCAAAATGAATTGGCAGAGGCTGAATGCCATATTACAGTAAATGCAGAGCTTTCCCATGCAATGCTGGCGTGAACTGAGTGAAGCAAAGAAAACCTATTCAGTGTATTCAGAGCACAACACAATGATGTGGAGCTTCAAACCATCAAATATCTCAACTCACTCCCAGCCATGAATACGGTATCCATCTTCCCTTGTTTTCCATTATCCAGATCTCATAGCCAAGATTTATTTTCAGTTATGCTTTTTTATTTCAGCATCCGGGCATGAATAAGATGCAAAAACTCACCCAACCATATGTGTACTCTTCCTCTGAATGGTGTCCACGAGTCTTAGAAGTTCTCCCGGGCTTTCTTTCAGGTGCCAACTGAGAGTTTTTGCCTTGGGCACATCGCTTTAAAATGTGAGGAAACAAGATTTGTGAAGTGCCCTCAATGTGCACCTAGTAAAAGCAGTGATACAATGAAACTCCAGCTACTGATTCCAGTCAGTGTGAATTAGACACTGAAGTTCTAATACATCAACAGAAATAAAGGAAAGAAATTCAGGAAGGAAAAAGCCTGTTTTGCATCTCCTTTGTACACCTAATGACAAGTATAATCTGAGGCGATACAAAGATAAAAGTTTGTTATACTTCACCTTACATTTACTTACCAGGTCAGCACTACTGTCTCCATTTTCCAATCTCATAAATTGTGGGTCCTTTTCTTCCTTCTTTTTTAACTTCACCTGACTTCGATCTTTTAAAATCCTGTTTTCATCTAAAAGGTCTTCCACTTGTTTCTGTAGTTTGATTTCAGACAATTTCAGATTATAAACATAATTGCAAGATTCTTCCAATTTTCTCCTGAGAAAATCTTCAGTGTCCTGGGAGCACTGGAGTTCAGTCAGCAGGTCTGCCTTTTCTCTTCTGTTGTCCTCCCCTTTTTCCTTTAAGAACTTTAGATTTTGCTGAAAAGACTCAACATGGCTTTTCATGACATGCTCCATGTTTTCAATGCAAGTTTTCAATTCCATTACTTCCATTTCAGAAAGTTTATAGCCCTGAGTCCCAGTGGATGCTGATTCCACCTTCTGTTGGAGACACTGTGCCATTCCCTCTTCTAACTCAGAAGTCAAACAAGCAATATGGGCATTGAGATCTAACACTTGCTTTTCCAGCCTGGACACCTCTCCCCGCAGGTAACATTCCCTTTCTCTCTGTATTGTTGTTTGTCGCTTCTGCTTTTGCTTATAATGCTCAAAATATTCTGACTGGCTTTTTACTTCATCTTCTTTTGTCTTCAGCTGCTCCTGAAGCCAATGTAATTTTTCCTTTTGCTTTTTCTCTGACTTTTCTTGGTTTTCAACCTACAATTTCAGTGATTTGTATGGTTAACATCTCAATACCAGATCTCTTCTTCTCTTACCATTTTTCCTATTTTTTTTCTTAATTTTAATTCTGCTTTTTTTTTTTTTTTTTTCTGTAAACTCAGAAAACTAGAAATATTCAAAAGCCAGTAAAATCCTGCATTCAGAGCAAACTGAGCTGTTCTGTCATTTCACTGAAATATCTCAGAAGGAAAAACAAAGCAAAAAATACAGGAAGTTTCACATTCCTTTGCATGTTTTATAATGCATATTTAAATAAAAAGAAACCTTGGACTGAAATTCATACAACCAGCTCTGAACTATACAATACATCATTGACACTGACACTGATGCAGTACTGAGGTGTTACAGACAGAGAAGCCACGGTTCTTTTGAAGAAAACAGAAGATGCACTTTTAAGAGACCAAGTTTTTTTTTGCCCTTTGCCCTTCCCCATACCTGTCATCTGTCAGCTCCTTTTATGAGCCCATGGTAAAAGGAGAAAAGAACAGATGACTTTAGAATCTTTTTGAGAGACTTTAGTATTTTTGTTTGCACCAAAGTGTGCTTGAACATATAGAGGTGAAAGAACTTAACGAAAGGCAGAGGCAGAAAAGGCTTTCATGATTCACTTGCTGCCCTTGTTTTGAGCAGAGAAACAGCAACCAGTATCATAGTGCCAATTGTGGCAACTTTTAAGCAAGACTGAAGGACAGAGACATTGCTGTATTTCTTCAAGCACTTTCTTTGGTCAGTCTTTTTGATTTCTGGTATGTTCTTATCAGAAGTGTTCACCAGCAAGTACAAGAGAGGAGGAACACCAGGCTGAAATGCTATACAAAGTGAAGTAGGTGTGGTTCTTATTTCTGTTTGTTTAACTGCTGATGGGAAGATATAAAAATAAAAGCTTCCTGAATCTTGAGAAGTACATTTCACTTTTAATCAAAAAAGTTGTACCACATAGTGCTAGTGTCCTGTCAGATTATTCCACCTTGACTTAAAATGCTGATAAAGTGGAAGTGTATCTTATGATAAACTGAATTAAAAGACATTGTTTCACTGTAGACTGTCCCAGAAGAACACTTTCTATTCTCTCCATTCCTTCTCCATTTTAATGGATCCATCCAATGAGCTGTGCAAACTAGGGGAAAAAAGTCTGTTGTATGTGTTATCAGACAACAGCTGAGCCTCTTGATACATAAATATTTATTCCTATGCATATATGAATGCTCAAGAGAACTGAGGATTTTCCACTGAAGAGCTGATAATTTCAAAACGTGGGGGAGAGGCAGCTGAAAGGGAAGGAAATCAGCAGTAGGAGGTGCCTTGCAATGAGCTTGCACCATGCGCCCTGCAGAGAAAGGCTCACATTGGATGGGATCTGCAGACCCATCCATGTGACCCACATGACTGCACATTACAGGGAAAAAAGGCACAGATCAACCTGGGAAAGCTGGAAGAGGCTACATGGACCCAAAGCCTAGCAGGAAGATGGAAGTGGTTGCAACAGCAGATGAGGCCCAGCTTGAAAATATGTGAGCAATTCAAGAATCAGATGACAGGTTGAGCAGCTGCGTTTTGTACAGGAACCAGGTTGTCATGGTTGTGTTGTGCTGTTGTATCACATGGAGGGGGGACAGGGGTATGTGAAAAAAATTGTTCACTACAGTGCCAGAAAGGTAAGTCTGACTTATGGAGAAGGAATAGGTTGATTGGGTTTTGGGGAGGAAGAAGGAAGTGATAGCATATATCCCAAAGATCAAGGGCTCAAATTAAAACAATGTCAGTGCTGTCATAAACATTAGAGAAACACAAAGTGAGGCACAAACAAAAAAAGTTCTTCTAATTACTCAGGTTATATAAAAAGAGCAAGGCTGAAATGACATATTGCCTAAAAAAAGACAGGACACTGGAGATGAGATTGACTTATAAATTATTACCATACAGAGGAGCTAAACTAGGTCATTTGAAACAATATCCTCCTTACCAAGTTCATCAGCTCCTCCCAAATGACTCGCACTTTCCCTTTAACACGCACATTTGCATTTTCAACCTGGTGCACCTTCACATTTAGCTGATCAATCATCACAAGAAGGGTTTTGTGTGACAGCTCCAGCTCTTTCATCCTGTGATATTGAGAATGAAGATCTTTGCTGAGTAAATACTGAACAGTATAATTCCAGACATTATCGGCAATGCATCTATTTATCTTTATTTTTTCATTTTTTTCTCCCAACAATAAAAATAGTAACACATATTTGATTACTACTAATAAAAACTTCATTATCAGTAAGAGTCTTGGGGTTTGCACATTTCACTGGCGACTCTCAAAGCTGTTAAAGACAGCATCTATGTTCATTCTCTCTCTGCTCGTTTAATATAAAAACCATAAGCAAACACATTTACAAGATCAAAGTTCACTGAAGCTTGGCATGTCATATGAAGTAACAATGGTAAGTTGTTAAGGATAACCACAACTCTGGTCTGTACATGTATCCAGTCACAGGATTTTGCCAGGCTCATGTTTAGCAAACTCAAAGTTTATGACAACAGAGAATGCGTTCCATCATATTAACATAACAGGATAAAGATAGAAAACACATCATTAAATAAGTACCATTAAATAAGTACTCATTTATCAAAGTGACCCTGATGAGGTTCTTCCCCATCACTGGCACTAACACAGTCTATTCCAACACAGGTACCATAGAAAACTTGGCCACATCAGCCCAAAACTCTGCCCTAACTAGGGAGTTACTGACTCTGCTTCTGTGTATTTTTCATCAGTTCTGCCTTCCACATCATTCCTTGCCTTGTCTATTTGTGCTTCAGTCACAAGAACCTGTGGCACAGAATTGCTTTTCTTTCTACGGGATACCCAAGATACATGAAAACAGGCTTCCTATAACCCAGGCAGGTTTCTCTTGGTCATCTACTCTCCTTGAACTGTTTTCTCATACTTTCTCTGTTTTGATTTTAAATACAGTTCTTCCCATCTCCCCTCTTCCCAAAAATCTTTGTTAAAATAGGCCTATTTCCATGAAAGCTTTTATTCAAAATAAATGAATAAATAAATAAATAGTCTTTTTTTTTTTTTTTTTTTTTTTGACAAAAAGCACATTATTAAAACATTTCTGGCCAAATTTCTTGATGAAAAAAAGCAATTCAGAAATTATACAAGTAGTCATTTTAAATGCCATTTAAATTTTCCATCCTTTAAATTCTCTAGCTTTGTTTAGAGAATTTATTTTGATGCCTGGCCTGCAATTGCCAGGCATCAAAAACTCAATTTTATTATTCCAGTCAACTACATAATTAATGCTTAATGACATCTTTAGCTACACTAATGATTAGCATTAACATACATGTCTCCATGCTTCTTTTTGAAACAAGGAATTTCTTCTATGCAGCACAAAACTTCAAATTTAAACATAATTACATCTTCCTATTCCAAAATTAACTCTTAAAAGAAAAGTGATATATTCTGCAAGGAGAATTTACACTTTATGAACATTTAAGGATGAAATATCCTGAGAAAGCTCTCTGGTTATGTGCTAGTAGATTCTAGATCATGCTATAAATCTGATGTAAAAAATTTGAATATTGAATTTCTATTCTGACAGCTACACAAAACACTTATAAATTCATTTTATTAGACCCCTAAAAATGGATAGTCTTTCTTTTCACTAGTTTTGCATGAACCATTTGACATCCACTACATGAAGCAAAATGAAGTGTAGATTTGTCACGTAACATTAATTTCAAATGCAAAGAAAGAAATGTATTTACCTATTTCTTAGCATGGAATCTGAATCCATGTAGTCTTGTAAAACACCTTTCAGTTCTTGCTCCAATTTCTCCAGCTTTTTCATTCTGAGGTTCAAATTTTCTTGTTCAGCACTGTTTGCTTGTTCATCAGGTTTGCTTGTATCTTCTAATTCCTGGGAAATCCAGGAAGTATCAATTTTAACATTAAAATTCAGAGTATCGTAACCTTCATTACTAAGCATTTTAATACAGTAACAGAATTCTCGTTCTCTCCCAGATAAAGGATCCATGATGAAAAAAATTAAATTCTCAATGTATTGCAGTCTAAGCATACAATGAGTCTAAGCTTCTCTGATGGTCAGATGAACAGTCCTCAGTTCTGAAAACATTTATTATTTATGAGAGAGTTTAATTTCATTAGCCTCAAAGTAATTCAGCATGTGAAACTCAAAGGAGTTTCAGTTTACAATATGAGATCATTATAAAAGATATAATTAGACTAATTCATGAAGGAATTAGGTATCAAACTTTTTAAAAGGGAATAATTTTATACTAAATATAAAAGTTGATAAAACTGAGTACATTTATCATAAAAGATCTTATTTTTGATAAACATATGATATTTTTATTATTTTAAGACAAAAGATTTATGACTAAGAGGGACTTTCAAACTTGGGGTTTCAAAGTCAAGATGTTTTTCTTTTCCTTTACCTATTTCAGCAATAGTTCCTCAGCCCATAGTTCACTTTCATTTATATACACTGTCTTCATTAAAAAACAGGCAAATAATTGACAGCTGAAATGCCTTTGCTTTCTCTAGATTTATATAGGTTTGGAATTGGACCTATAATTGGAATTCAGCCACCAAGACTGAACCTCTTTATCACAAAATAATGCAATTACATTTTCTTGCTTTTGCTTGTTTGTTTTTTATTTTGTATTGTTGTCTAAACAAATGCTGGATCTGCAGCACCAAGAAAAAAAAAAAAAAAAAAGGTAACATTATTTTGCCACTGAAGAGGAAAAAATAACATCAAATCTGTGCAAAAAGAATAAACAAACAGTTCTCTTAGTGCCCCACGTTTTGATAGATGTTATTTGCACCCATGGTGAATTACATAAAATGTAATGTATTTTGGCCTATTGTACCACTCTTTGGCTTTATATCAGCTATGCGAGGCCCACCACCTAGACCTGAAAATATTCAGCCACTCCTCGATCCCTTGAGAAGCCATGACATTAAAAACTAGAGGTGTGGAAAGGCAAACAGAGCACAAATCCATGTACATGGAAAATAAAACTAAAACACTTATGAAGAGCTTCTCTAGACTTACCAGCCCAAGTCCCTCCTTGGTTTCCCAAGACCTGTAAGCATATTCATGTTTTTTAACCTGGCCTGTATAATTTGCCAAAGGGAACAGAATCTTTGATTTTGAACTCCTTGAGACACTAACATTTTCTCTGTATGTATTATTTGTAAAGTGAATTTGAATAGGCAGCATGCTCCCAGACAATAAGCACCCCTGTGTACTAAATAAATATACATGTATGTACAAAATATATGTACAAAATAAATATATGTAGTAATAGTGGACATTATTACTCTGCACATTAACAATTTACAGTGCAAGCTAAATTAATGTGATTTTCAACTGTGTCCCAGCCTAGTATATGACTCATAAACTGGAACAGGAAAAACTCTCAGTGGGACATTTTGCACAAAGTAGCCACCAGATAAAAAAAAGAGAGGAAAGACTAGGCAGGAAATAAACTAGCACTTAAAATCATTACACTGATTTCTACTCACATATTTCTACTGTATATTCTTGCTTATAAGTGGACTTTTAGTCATTGATATAAATATCACAAAAGTTAATAGAACAATTTCTCAAGTCTTTTCATTCCCTATGGTCCGTGAGGTTTCTATGCTTCTCATGCTTCATCCTGAAAAGTACTGAGTACTTCAACATAAGACCAGCAAAGCTGTTACAGTTGATCTCAGAAATCAGAAACTCACTGTTCCCTTCTTTGCTTATACAGCTGGGAGAGATTATTTAAAATTTGTGTCACAGGAAGTAATAATCTGACACAGCATCTTCCACAGACTGAATACAATCAGATAGTACATTATACCTTAGACTGAATATAACCAGTTAGTACATAATACCTGTTATCAGGTTTATAGGAGATAGCAACATGCAATGGATAGCAAGACTGGAATGCTGCATTCAGTTTTTCAAAACTACATTCCTGCTAGCTCAGGACAGAATAAAAACATCGTGGATGTCATGGAAAATTTCACCCAAATCAGCCAGTTTCTTTGAGAAAACTGTCATATCTGAATTACAATATAATGGAATGAATAGAAGATAATAAAAACTGCTCATACCTTTTCTGCTTTGTAACAAGACCATCTCCTGTCTTTGCTGAGCACTTACCATTGCAGCCACATGCTGAATGACCATCCCACGTTTATGCTTCTGGTTCAATTTCCAACGCAGTGATGAGCAAACATTTAGTAGAAGAAAGTGTTTCTTCACCAAGTAAATCTAATCTTACTTTCCAATTTCTGTTCCATCACTGGTACCTGGTTCTGTTATCCAAAGCTCAGACTATCTCTGGTTATGGTCCTTCTTTTCAGAGTTACGACAAAATTTTTCCTTTTGCAGTGAAGACCTCATTTTTCCACATTCTGTCATCACACTGCTAAAAGCTTTAACACATTCTTTAAATGCTTGTTTCTTTTTGAAAAAAACATTGCACGCAACACATTCTTCTGGGCATAGAGTTTCCAAACTTTTGCATGATCCTTGTGACCAGCTTGATCATTTCTAACTTAAATTGTGCTTTGTGTCAGGAAACAGAATTATTCAGATCCTCACATGAACTGCAGTTTTCTGCATCTGACTGAATTAATCTTGTTGAGTGCCTCAGCTCCTTCAGCAGATGAATGACCTTGTCTGGTGATTCTTCATGAAGACTACATCTCTGATCTTACTTCAGAGCCTGAAATATTATCTGAGACAACTGGCTTCTTTTGAGGCTGCTTCCTGCACCTCCAACAGTGAGATATGCAGTTGCTATGATACATCTGTTCCCTAGCTTTCTTTGTGCTGTCTTGATTGTTCTTTGCCTCATATTATTTTTTTTTCAATCATAATTTCCACTTTATCTGATATATTATCATAACCATCATTCCACTCTACATTTGTGTTGGAGTTCAGTGCATCCATGGGAGCAGACTTGTCTCTCTGTAGTTTTGCACATAGCCCTTTTAACACAGAGATGATTTTCAAGAAAATGCTTAGGAGGAGAAACTTAAAATATTGTGCTTTTAATATTGTCAGCTTGCCTCTACATTCCAGAAATAATTAAAATTACCTCTTTCTCCATATTGTCTTTCCAGCTCTGAAACAACAATTTGCTTTGCTCTTTTTGAAAGAAAAGGCTAACCTTTTGTTTTTTTTTTCTAAGCATTCTCCACCTTAAACAACTCTTTTCAACTTCCATTTTTTTCAGTCTGTGCTTCACCTAAAAATTTTCTTGCAGTTCATGTAGTCAATGTCCTTGACTGTGTAAATTCAACTTCACTGGTTGAGGTTGTGCTATTTTTACTTCCTGATGGCAAACATCAACTTTCTTTCATGAGGATACCATCTTTTCAAATTTTTTTCCAAATACTTCTGTGCTTATCATATTCATCTACACATCAATTTCTTCAAGCCCATTTTTCTTCTTGACAAGATAACTGAACACAGAGTATTATTTGTTCTGTTTTCCTGACTTCACAGTCCATCTCAGAATCTTCTATTCTCCCAGGGCTATTTTTACAAGTTATTGCCTTAATTTTCAAGAAACATTGAAAAACTTCACTTCTCCCATGCAGCTCTTACCCACTTCAGAGATTTCTTAGTTCAGTCTTCTATTTTGCCTTTTCTTTAAAACCCATCTCTTCTCCATCTGTGGATTTCCAACTTTTGAAATTAATATTAATTTTGTCACTGTGGGGCTCTAAATCTCTATTTGTTTCCAACTTACAATAGTTTTTGGTTTTGTTTTTTGTCTTTTGTTTTTTATTCTGTCAGCTATTTACTATAGAGAACTCATTGTCAAACACTTAGCTTTTTATATAGATATTAAAAAGGAGATTTTGTGTTTGCTGGGTGAAATGAAAACAACATTGGCTGAAAGCATGCAGAATGGAGACAAAGATCTCAGTACTGTAAGAAAACCATTTGGTAGATAACAGTTCACATAGCAGCCAGTAATTGCACTTGTATTTTTTTCCAGTGTTTGATTGGTGTATGAATGTAAATTCTGTTTAGACTTTTTTCAGTGTTTATGATGTGCTGGTCCCTATTTGATTATTAAATCATTCCAGCTTGAAGCTATATCTTTAAAAAATCTCTAATTTTAAATTCAAATATTTTGCAGCTTCAAGTATTATGCAAACAGTTTTATGAAAAAAATGCACCAATTTAAAGCTGCTCAATAAAAATTTTCTATATTTTTGCACGTGGACTCAGCTGTTCACTCCATAGGTTCTTTTAATAGCCTGTATAATAAAACAAAACAAAAGGAAACAAAAATATTCTTCTCAGCTTTAGATAGACAAAATTAATTTAGGAATAAGTGTTGGCGTTCATCCCATCACAATCTCTTCCTAAAATTTTGATGTTAGCTTCAAAACAACAAGAACCAAAACTACCATCAGTAGAACAAAAGCAATCATCCCCTTTCTTCAAACACATCTTTATAATCATGTGCTCTTTTTAAAATATTTATGTTGTTTATTTTTATTTTTATATTTTTACAAAAGAAAGGAAAAATAAAAATGAAGGGTTAAAAAACTGTAAAAAATATATCTGAAATTCACCTAATTTTCAACCCATCTAATAATCAAAAGAAAGCTACTGCACTTGTAGCAAGTCAGTAATACTTTCATTATATTATACCCACCAGCATCTACCATTGTTTCATTTCAAAACATAAAACCTATGCAGAAATGCTAGTAACGGAACACCTGAGCCAGTTCCCAAGAGGAACTGAATATCAGGGCTTACCAGGAGCTGTATAAACTTGTAAAAGAGTTCATAATACAGGACTGATTTTTCAAAAGTACTTGTAGTCTGGGCAGAAAGTTTCAGGCTTAATATAAGGTAAATATAATTGTTTTTTTTTTTGGATTGACTGTTGTCAACATGCTTCATCTTATAGTACTTGACAGCAGCTTATAAATGTGTTGATTGAATTTACCACAGTCTTACCAGAAGCAGTTTCCATGAATGTAATTCAAAACAGATTTCAGTGAAGAAAAAGAATTGAAAACATGCAACAGTAAAAATATTGCATATTTTCAGTTTAAAAAACAAAACAAAACTCTACATAAATCTTCTATAGTTTTAAATCGTATCTTAATCTTCTGTCAATTAGGTTGTGGAGATATCCTCACATGCCACTTACATTGCTCCAGGGAAGAGGGCTTGGACTGATTTTGTCTCTAACCTGTATTTCCTTCCTGTTCTGTGTGAAAGGTAAGCCTTTCTAAGTCTTTAGCTATAGGTATTGCTACAGCTAAAGAAATTCACTGTCTTTTGCATTGAGCTGAAAGAGTCAGCACACTGTGGAAGGGGCAGTGGGAATGATGGTTGTGTTTGAAGGGAGACACATACAAATTTCTTAGTCTCATCCTTACTATATTGCATGGGCACAAAGAAGGTCAGTCATATTCCAGTTTTCTTGCATGACAGAAAGATATGATCCTATAGCCATAGCTGAACTTTTAGGTTAAAATGTACCCACTCTACAGAATTGAGAAGAACCCACTGAAGTTCAGGCAGTCAATATCTTAGAATGCAAAATCATATCTTGTTGAAAACTGAATGACCTTCTGCAGAAGCCTAGAAAGCTAACTGAAGACATCCAATTTGGATCTTAAATGTGACTCTTCCTCTATGTGCAAGCAAAATCAGTAAAGCCTTCCCAGAGTATTAGGGTCTTACATAGATGATTCTTAAAACATGGCAAAATCTAGGAGTTAAAAATTGAGTACAAAACGATATAAAGAATACCAACCACAAGTCTTGGCTCAGTTGTGTCATCAAGGCCACAGAATGAATGCTAGTGAAAAAAACAAAAAAAGGAACAAAAACTATAAAATAAGATCAAAAGAAAATGAGGAAAAAAAAAAAAGAAAAGAAAAAAGATGTAAGATATGTAATATGAAATCCGATGACATAATTTTACAGCAGTTAGTCTTACATCAATATTAACTGAGTTGATTTGAAAGAGGGATACCGTATACCAATCTTACTCTGAAAAGAGGGTACAAAACGAGGGTACAGGGTACAAAATTCAGTATTTGAGGGCAACATTTGTGGATTATGTAAACTTCAGAAACATCAGGTTTGGCTCTGTAACTTAGTCAAGCATGTACTTGTAATTACATTTGTGCAAGCTTGCCTGAATCTAGACTTACCCAGCTGAGGGAACAAGCTAAATGTAACCAAAAGGGCAGATAATCTGTTATGAGAAAATCATGAAGTGTTTAAATGGCACTTTTTCCTCATATATTGGCTGGAAGAACAAAACTGAGATTTTACATTATTGTTATGTACAGCCTTCGGAAGCAGGACAGTTTGTTGAAGAATACATAGGGCAAAAACACTACCACCCCTATTTTCTGATTTGACAGAATTTTACATAAAATTTAAAAATTGAATACATTCCTGGGGGCGAATAAAAAGCCATACTCATGACAAAGTCAGTATAAGTGACCCAACGCCCTTAGCTACAACCAGCAACAGGCATCAGATATACAAACTGTCACTCCTTCAAAAGAAAGGATTTCCTTCCACAAGAAATCACTGAGCTCAGTGTCAGCGGCAAGTATATGCAAGCCTCTATCCACTGACATATTAAACCTTCAAAAGACCAATAAGTAGAAGTGTATCACTCATTGATTCTCTGACAATGGAAATTTCCTTCAGACAGTCAAATTCAGAAAGAGATTTAATCTCAAGGAAAAAAATTAAATATGATACAGATAGATAGTCTTCCACCCAACCAAGAGTAGAAGGATAGAAGGATATCAGAAAATGATGAAGCCTTGAGAGGTCTCCTGCTAATGCAACATTAAGGTAAAGAAAACGTTATTCATTTTAACTAATTACCAGTTTTCAGTTCAGTTTGTGGTTACCTTACTTAATACAGTACTGAACTTCAGATTTGATTTTTCTTGTATTAAAATAGATCTCTTGATATTAGGTTAAATACTACTAACATCAACATAACTGGGAAAAATAAATTACTGAGGGGAAGGAGGAGGGAACTTTGGCATTGCCCAGGCATTTATTTACCTTTTCCTCAATTTCTTTGAGTTGCCTCTTTTGAAGTTCTATTTTATCTTCTAGTTCTCGAATCCGCTG